TTTAAAAATATACGCCTATCGTGGGCATCATCATCATCATATCATACCCGGCCTCAAAGAGGACTCGGTAAAAACGTACCCGACCATCATAAGGCTCGGTAGAATCGTACCCGGCCACATGGAGCTCGGTAAACCCAACTGATCAGTGGTTGCACAATAGGTGCCATACCCGGCCGACTATAGCGCGGCTCGGTAGAGTAAAATAGATACATATATAATGCATGCTGGACTCATGGAGTCACGTTCTAAACCTTTTGGAGTGACATTAAGAACATTATGGACATCCATACCCTCAATATGAACCTTAGTAGGATTCAAGGATCATACACACTTGGTTAGAATAATTTTATAAGGAAAGAACAACATGGACAACCTTAGTTGCTAGGAGTAGATCCGTTATGATTAGCGTATTCGTTTCACTTTAGATCATGCCAAAAGAAAGAAGAGATTGCCTTAACATACCTTAACTCCATTGAGTCCTTAATACCTTCCAAGTAATTCTTCGAATAACTCAACCCAATCTATCATAGCATAAGGAGATTCAAAATTAGTGTTGAGTAAAGGCTATGTCCGCAACTTAAGCTAGTAGCTCGTTTATGTAAATTTGGGCAGCATCTCCCTTGTAACAAGGGCCTCCTCCAATACCATATACCAACAACAACAGCCAGGGAAGTCCAGCAACCTATAAATATCAATAACAAGACACCATATAACAACAACAAGTCACAACTACTTCACGACAAGCGGCAAGCTCCGATTGGAATCCGTATAACCCATATCACCCCTTATAGACTTCTTACATTAATTTAAAAGTATCATTAACATGATAATGAAGTCATTCATCAATGATTCCATCCTTATACCATATATTTATAACAAAGGAAACAATCCTCAACTCCAACTATCTTCAATTAGTAGCTTTATTCACTAGTTCATGTCTACTCCATCCATTTAACTTAATCAACATCAAGATAACCTTAAGCACATGCAAGAAGACAATACACACAACTCCTATAGTAACTTCAAGTCGAAATCCAAGTTATATTCAGCTCACAACAACCCTCAATAGCAATACAACACCATAGAAGTGACTTAAGCTAATCCAAGTACTATCTTGTAGTTTATCATCCTAACAACTTAACCAACATACAAGCAAGCTTAAGCACAATTAGTAGGCTGTTATACTCACCTTATACAGCGGCAACAACTTGGAATTTCATCCAAATACAGCCCACAACAATCCTCAATGACAACACAACCTCAAAGAGGTGTTGTTCTTCACTAGAACTAAGTTTTGATGTTGAAATATGGTGTAATCACTTTGGAATCACTTCAAACCCTTGTGGAATCTGTTTAGAAGGGTTAGGAGAAGTTTGGAGACGAAGTTGAGTTGAAAATAAGTGAAAAATAGGCGTCCAAATCGTTTATAAATTGAAGTAGGTCAACCACCGCCTAAGTGGGTCCCATTGGGAGCTGCTTGCGCGGTCTCGCGAAAATACGAATATCTCTCTACTCCGATGTCGTATTGACGAACGGTTTAATGCATTGGAAATTAGACTCGTAGATCTTCAATTTGATATGTAGATCATCCATTGATTCCAAGTATATTGGGAGAAAAGTGCATCTACATTTGACCTAAATTTCAGCACATTATGAATGCAACTTGTGATGACCTTTGCTAACTTTTGTTCCATAACTCGTTTGACTTAAAAACATAACACACGACTATCATACGACTACAATAACTCATAAATTAACCTCCTCATCATGTTAATCACCCTAGTCTCACCCCAAAAGAATATGTTGTAACATTCCAAACTTGTCGATTTTTGACGAAACTTATTTTCTTCAATTCGTTTAGCAACTAAGCTTTCCAACCCTTTTGGTACTTGTTATTCATGATATTAAATATTTGTAACCTCCAAGGTAACATGATTAACTTACTTTATTTGCTTCCAAATATAATCTCATTTTCGAGCTTACATCAATGACTTACGACGTACTCTCACGTATGAAAACTCGGGGTGTAACACTTATCCTCCACAGGGGCTACTCCTACCTTATCCATTTGAATTATATATGTAAGAACTACTAGTAATTAGGAATTTAAATCTTTCCATAACTATAATATTCTTAACATTCAGTAGAGGAAGGAATTACAATTGGGCGTTCATGACTTCTTTAGAAGTTCTTATTTTCCTAAAAAAATATTATTCCTTTGATGAAGATGAACTGATATACTGGCATTCTCTTCCAATTCCGTATCCTAACTCAGGGCAAACTATCTCTAGATGGCAAAGTGAAATGTAGATTTCAAAAATATATATAAATAATTCGTATTCTTTTATTTTCTCATAATAATAGAAAAAATTAATATTGGATAATTAAAGTGAAATGGAAAAAATAATAAATATTCTCTGATATAATAAAAAAAAGTTAATAATCTAAGCATCGAAGTTAGCCACCAAATATTTTTTGTTAACATATATATGGTTTTCTTAAAAAAACTTTAAAACTTACCATAGAGATAGTGTACATGCGTATCATAACACTAGTTGACCTATATGTCGTGTATTCATCTGCTTCTAAAGTCAAACAAGTCATAAGCCCCATTGTTTTTAAGATTAAGACATCTGAATCTGAATATACTTCTAAAAATCAAGATGTGTATTAAGATTAAAATATCTGAATTTAAATACACACCTGAATATTAAGATGTGTATTAAGATCTGAATATTAAATGATTAAGACAGTTAAATTTTTAACATCTGAATGTATAAATTTATCTTTATTTGAAAATTAATAAACATAAAAATCAAATAAAATACTAATTAATCTAATATTCTATTAATAAAATATATAGTTTTTTAAAATATGATAGTAGTTGGTGGTAATAGCTAACAGGTGAATGTCGAACAGAGAAGGTGTTTGGTGGTGATGGTTCAGGATAGTAGCTAGTGGTGATTGGTAGTGGTAACGATTTATGATTGATGATGATGGTGGTGGGTGGCCATAGTTAATAATAGCGGGTGGTGGTGGTAATTGTGATTGAGAAAGGTGGTGGTGGGGGGTGGTAGGTTATAATGATGGGCAGTGCCAGCTGTGGTTGTTGATGGCGATGGGATGGTTAGTTGTAGAGGTTGAGGTGGATGAGTGTTGATTGTGGCTGAGAATGATAGTGGTACTTATTAATAGTAGACGATCACGACAGTTAATAATGAATATGACTGATAGTATCTTAATAAAATTAAGTGTCTCTCATGTATCCTAACCATACAAACCTATTCAGACTAGTTAAGTAAGTCGCACCTATTCGTGACTGTGAAGTAAATAAAGAGGGCGTTTGGCTAAGCTTATAAGCTGGTCAAACTGGCTTATAAGCACATTTTGGCTTATTTATGCGTTTGGTAAACATCCAAAGTGCATATAAACTAAAATCAGCCATAAGTGATAAGTTAGTAACCCCCAACTTATGGCTTTTCTGCTTATAAGCACTTTTAGTTTGACCATGACTTTTACTAGTTTATCCTTAATAATATTTTTTAATTCACAAAATATTTTTCCCAAATAAATTTTCTAACTTTCTCTTCATTCCATATTAAATCAGCACTTGTACCCGAACACGTAACTGCTTATTTATTAAAGGCCAAGTGGCTTCGTGACCACTTAAACTTGTATCAGTTTGCAAAGTCGATATATGAACTTATATTTTTCCCAATTGAACACTCCAACTTGACAAAATGAGTACTAATAAACGCATCCACCAGAGCGTGTACATCAATTGCGCTGACATGCACAACACGTCATGCTAAGCTATTTATTACTTGCCATGTGTTATTTGTGGGTCCCATTTTTAAATAAAAAATCAGCAAAAAAAAAAAAAACCTGAAACATACCCATTATAAATCTGTACCCAACCGTCCCCCTTCTTTTTCGTTCACCCTCCTCCCTTCCTTTCCTTACTCTTCTTTCTTCTCCTTTCTTTTTTTCTTCATTATTCTTTATCTCTTATTTCTAAATCAAATTCACAACATTATTATGATCATGATTAGACCATAACCAAAACAAACAAACAAAAATTGGAATTTCAGAAAAAGATAACAGAAATCCATGACTTTGAAAGTGGAGGTCGCCTAATTTCATTGAAAATTTGCATTATTTTTTGCTGCTATTTTGACAAAGATGAATTCGATGATAGAACAACGACAAAGCTCAAGCTTTCTTCCGACCACCGGTGGTTAAGGCATATTGGGAGGGAAATAATGGGTGGAGACTAGCAAATGAAAGAAAAGATTATTGAAGGGGAATATGAAGGGAAAAAGAAACAGAGAAAGGTGAGGAGAAGAGAAATTAGGATGAGAAATGAAAAAAATTGGGTCGGAGTTTTGCTTGGAAGCGGAGAGAGTTGGAAGGGGAGGGGAAAAGAGAAGGGGAAGGGGAAAAGTTTTTTTTTTTTTCTTTTTTATTTTTCTTTCTTATTTATATTTTATTCTAACTCTAAGTTTTTTAAATAAAAACAATACTATTCACGCGCCTTGGCAGCGTGATTTGCATACAGTTTAGCCATATCAGCTGCACTGCTTCCACATAGGCATGGTCAACGGTCAAACGTGTTTATTAGTACCTATTTTGTTAAGTTGAAATGTTCAAATAGAAAAAATATAAGTTTATGTATCGGCTTTACAAACTGATTCAAGTTTAAGTGGCCACGAGGCCATTTGTCCTTTATTAAATAAGCTTCAGCAGTTAAAAGTATCTAATGATTATCAGCTAGTTCATATCGTCTAATCCAAACATGCTCAAAATAAAATGAGGCCACAATGTGCTATTTTACCGTTCACAAATCAGATGGGTCAAACAAGGAAAACAAAAATCAAATTGGGAGGTTCCAAACGGCGGCATGGAAGTGAACGGGGACGACGGCGAACCGACGGCGAAATCTTCAGCTGAAGAAGAAATGACTACATTTTCTCGCCACAACTTCGGAAATTCTGAAAACACCGACGACGGCTTCTCCGTCACCATCATCGAGGTCTTTCCTCTCTTTTAGTATATTTCTCTAATTTCAGCACTCTATTATATAAAAATTCAAACAACAACAACAACAGCGAAGGATAAAGAACTCCATACAGCTAACTTCTTTTTGGCATGTAAATAGAACATGAAAGAAGAGTACGGTTTATTCGTATGGCCTTGCAGTATTATTCTAGCCGAGTACATTTGGCAACAAAAATCACGCTTTACTGGCGCTTCTGTGGTTGAGGTAATGAACCTCATTTTATTGTTTTACTTATTGAAAATTTTATAACTTCGTTGCCTTTAATTTGTCTTTAGCTCGAATAAAGGAGGACGGTTGCACTAAGTAACTCTATTGTAAAACTAGTGGATTTATATTGTTGAGTTTAAGTTATACACACTGTCATTATTACTCTATCAGCTCGACCAAAGGATATTTACAGGGAAGTCTCCTTAAAATGTACAACATCAACAACCCACCCAGTGTAATCCCACAAGTGGGGTCTGGGGAGGGTAGTATGTACTCAGCGTTACCCCTAACCTGGAAGGGAAGAGAGACTGTTTCCGATATATAATTTGAAATGTGAGATATATAATTTGAAAATAAGACAGGTTACTTGACGGATGTTGTAAAATTCCTTAAACTGACGGTCTACATAACTTAAAAACTCTTATTGTTTGGTTTCTTCGATACGGACTTGGAACAGGTTTAAAGGAGCGAAATGAATATTAACGATTTATATAGCCGACTCAAACTAGTTTGGGATTGACGAGTAGCAGCAGCAGTAGTTGTTGTTTGTTTGATGCCTACTTTGCGTACTGTGCTTTAGATTTAGTTTGATTAGTGTTATATTTACTTCCTTTTGTTCATCATATTACAGCTTGGGGCAGGGACCTCGTTGCCTGGGCTGGTTGCTGCAAAAGTGGGTGCAGATGTAACTCTCACCGATGATTCAAGCAGAGTGGAGGTGTGATTTTTTTTTTTTTTTTTGAGTAGTTTTCTAATACACACCAGATTGAGAATTCATTATTTGATCATAGTCGCGGAGACAGTGCTCAAACCCGGTTACTAAACCATGGATATATTACATATCTATATTACTGGTATGCTAATTGGATTCAAGAACTGAGCATAGAATTGATGTGCAAAGAAGTTTGTGCAGCAGGAATTGAGTATTAGGAATTATTGATAACAAAGAAGTGCCTGGCCTTTTCTTTTCTCTTCTTTATTTTGCTTAGCTATTTCTTACCTTGGAGCATCCGTGTATCTTTGAGGCCATTATTGTCATAAAAAATATGTTGTCCTCACAACAATTCTGGTTACAACAACAACAACAACAATGCCTCAGTCCCAAACACGTTAGGGACAACCGTGCTGGTAACTCAAAGTAATATGCTTACAGAAACTGTTGGATTGTTCTGGGTTTTAACTTGTAGGTTTTGTCCAAGGATGCTATTTGGAAATAGAGCTGCCATTGACCCTGTTCTCCCACACTCATCTGCTGCTTCAATATTATTAAACAACAATCTGAACTTGCAATGGTGACTGATGTAATTGAATGACTAAGCTATAGATGTTAGTAGGTAAGCTAGGAAGCACCTACCCTGAATAAGAACGTCTCAAAATTTTGTGGGAATTATTAATCAGCACCTTGAGCTTCCAAAATTGCACCAAAATACTTATCAGTTTTACTATAACTGCATCTTTGTGGAACTACAGGTGCTCACTCATATGAGAAGACAATGCGACTTAAATGATATCAAGTGCAAGGTAATCCACACGCTTTTGTTTGCTATATGCAACTTGTCATTCCACATGACACATTTTGTGTAGAAGGGTAAAACTGTGTGAGTTTTACTTGAGTATCTAAGAGCGTGTAGAATGCCTTGGACAAAGGCGGCTCAACGATATTTGTGACCTAAAGCCGAAAGTTAAGAAAAGGCCTTAAATTTATTGTGATAAAATTATATATATATTTAATCTTTATTTGGTTTTTTTCTTTTTTCTTTTGTAATAATGGTTTACGGATCATCTTGTACGTATTTTGGCCCTTCAGTCGGCTACCTGCTAGCTCACACCATTGAAGACATCTAGTAACTCCACTCACCAAGGCTTCAAAGATCTTTTTATAAGAAACATCCACCTTTAAGATACAATTTTATAAGTTCCCAACTACTAAGAGATGTTAAAATAATTTAATATATTTGAAATAGTTTAAGTTTATTTGAAATTGAAAAAAAGACTTGATCTACTCTTTATAAGATAATCTACTTTAAAAGATATTACAAGAGACTTTGTTTTTATTTGTTTTATTATCATTGTTGTCATCAAACTGTTTTTTTGTCCATATTGCATATTTATTATGATTTTTTTTTTTATCTGAATAACCTCTATTTTTCTTCTCCTAAATAGTATCCAAAAAGCATAAAAACTTAAATCTGGTATTTCATAATATGAAAAATTTGGGCCTCTTGGAACATTGATAGTTTTATGCATTTCTCCTCCAATAGGCTTTATGAAGGTCTTGATTTTGCGTGTCATATCTATTTGAAGTCTTCCATTTTCACATTGCTCGTACTGTTGTTGAAGTGTTTTTTTTATTTTATCTTCTAGATACGTGGACTTACATGGGGTGTGTGGGATGCACAAACCTTCTCTCTGTGCCCAAACATTATCCTTGGAGCTGATGTCCTATATGACAGTTGTGGTAGGTTTATTTCTTTATATATCTTGTACTTTCCTTCTTTTCTGGATCTGCCAACTGAAGTTGAAATGTCTATCTTGCATGCTTACCAAGCCTTTGATGATCTCTTTGCAACTGTGACATTTTTACTCCAGAATTGCCCGTCATCCGTCTTTATTACTACATATCATAACAGAAGGTATGTTTCTGTCCTCTCTTCTCACTTTTGATTCAGCTAAGGATTATTTTCTTGTGTAATTTGCTCATTCAGATGTAGAGATGATCCAACTCCTGAGGGAAATGTTTCCTCTGACTGCTTTAAACCATGTGTAGTGGGCATCACCTAATTGGATTCTTGATGGTGAAATGGGGCCTGAAGTGTGTTAAGCTTCTTGATGGGTTCTCATTCATGCCATCACACAAGACGTCTAGTTTGAGTGGTAACATTCAATTGGCTGAGATTATTTTGGACACAGCAAACAGAGACGATACAAAATTGATGTGACTGAACTCAAGTGTGATGGTGCCAAATACTAGGTCCTGCTTACATATTTTACTTCTTCCATTGTAAGTGATCTAAAATTTGTCAACTATATAGCACTCTTTAGAAATCTTTCCTGCAGTCTTTTTCTCGTTTTTATTTTCTAAAGCATTCCATAGGTTGTAATCGTTCAGGTTTCGATGTAAATAACTTGTGATCAACTAATCATCACCTGCACATCAATAGAAGTGACCAGTGCATTTGTGTCCTCTTTATATATGCTTTCTGTGTGCTTTTTCCGGGGGGAAGGGAACTTACTATCACCACTGCATCTCTCGCATCAAACGCTAAAATATCTGAACATGAGACTATGCTGTGGCAAAGAGCTTCAACTGCTTCCTTCACATTATCAATGACATAGAATGCATGCAAAGAAGCATTAGAGGGACCATCTTTTTCTGCCAAGTTCTTTCCCTTGGAGTTCAGCATAACAGAAGCATCATAAACCTTCAAGAAGGTTCATGGGTTAAAATGAAGAATTTGCTTAGCAATGGGAGGGAAAAGTGTGAGAAAGTGTAACTATTATATGGATGGTTATGACTAAACAAGGTTTTTAGTTGTATACCCGAATGAAAATATCATGAAATGCATCCTAAGACAAGGCACAGTTTTCTCCATCTTTGACGGTGTATTCGGCCTGAGAACATGTTTTAGAGTAGTAATTTGAACTAAGGGCATTCCCTTGACTCTTTAGGGTAGATGGCAAAACAAGTAATGAGCTCAACTATGCAACAAAATACGCCATCGGCGCTATATGCCTACTACTACTAGGAACTCTAGACCAAAGTTGTGTAATTGCTTTGGAATTTGTTGATAAAATATGGTTGGTGAAAATAGTGAATTTGGTTGCATGCATGTTTGCTATTAAGGTTGTGGAGAGCTTTTCAAGCTTCTATTGTGAATAGATTAGATATATCATGTTACTTTTGTCTGCTCGCCTTTATGCCTAATGAACCTTGCCAAAAGATAATGATATAAACCAGGCATGTCATTTTTATCTCCTCCTTTCCTGTTTGTTGATGTCGACGAGAGACTGACATAGACTTTGAGAAGTAAAACTGACCACACCTAAGTATGAGGCTGTTGAGGATCTGAAAAAGAGGATTCACTTTCTGAAATTCCGAGTGACATGTTCCTCCTTCAGAAAGCTAGAATGATCGAAGTCTCCTTTAGGTTTAGCCGAAGAGATCGAAACGAAACCATATGCCTCTAACTCAGTTCATTCCCTATATGGTAAAGGTAGGTATCCCTGTACCCCTTTTTTGGTTCAACCAAGGTAGGCTCGTGCCGGGGTTCACTCGTGAAAGGAAGTGGTAAAGTAAAAACAATCTTTGAGACTGGAACAAAAATACTACTACTAAATTTAAGAGTTTTTTCAATAAAGGCAAACATCATTTTATTCTTGATGCCGCCCAAAGTAGCAGAAATTCATACGACACCATCTGTTAAAATGATTACACTCAATAAGAGGTGATAACACTGATGCCAGGCAAATTCTTATCAGAGTAATCAACAAGATTGACAGATCAATGGTACTGGACAGTTCAAGTAATTAACAATTACTATTAGTTTGGAGTGCTTCTCACTATGTTTATGTGCAAATTTTAACGAGTGAACAGCAAGCACTCAGTAACCAAGAAAACCACAAACTGTTCGTTTGTGTGTTAAGGCGGTTAAGCTTCAGAGCCAAGGATGTCGCTTAGCTCGATGTTCAAATCCTACTCGAGAACAAAAAATTATTGCGTGATATTTTTTATCTTGATAGACAAAGTTATTAGAGATACCTGTGATAGTTAGAGGTGATAAGCATCTGATGAAATAGTTGAGTGTTCGCAAGCTTACCATCCTTAAAAAACAAGGTGGTTAACCTTCATATAGCAATACCCTTATGCATGTAATAATGGTTCGTAATCCAAGTCTACTTTTTCGTTAGTTACCATTTTTGTCTCACCCGCCTGAGTATAGTACCAGTATTACAGTTGAGAAAACACAGAGGGAGATGTAGGGCTCGGTTTGTCTTGTAGGAGATGGAATAGAATTGTTTCAAATCTATTTACATCTCGAGTTTCCAGAAACATAACACATTTGTCCGAGTCCAGGCTTCCACTGGGTGCGTTGTGATTCGTAGCTTGAGAAAGGGTCTAATAATTCAGCTAAGTGGTTAACCAAAAGGGAACTTAACACTTGGCCTTTTCAATAGCCCGTTTGGCTAAGCTGCAAAAATCAGCTTATTTTGAGAATTGTTTTTCTCAAAAGTACTTTTTGGTGAGAAACTGTTTGTGATTGACTAATTAATTCGAAAAGCATTTCTAAGCAGCAATTAGTGTTTGACCAAGCTTTTAAAAACTGTTTGTAAGTGTATTTTTCTCAAAAGTACTTTTGGAGAGAAACTACCTTTTTCTGCTTCTCCAAAACTGCTTCTGTTGCTCCTCAGAAGCATTTTTTTTTTCTTCCAAAAGCTTGGCCAAACACTTTAACCGTGAAAAAAACACTTTAACTATGAAGAAAAAAAAACATTGTTTTTGAAAAAAAGTGCTTCTAGGATTGGAGAAGGTTGGCCAAACAGGCTATAAATCAAGTAGTAATAGACATTTTTATTTATGCAACAGAAAAAAAAAAAGATGGAATATTATTGTAATTGTTTCTGCTACTTCTGGCTATTTGATTGCTCCATCTCTACTACCAAAATTGAGGAGCGTATCGTTGAACTTGCACAAACTAGTACTCCTTTCAAAAGGAATGGTGGAATTCGGAATATGAGGATTTACACCTCTAATTTTTTGTTTGAATCAGATATCAATTATTGTTAAGTTTCTCGAAATAAAGATTATAAATTTTTAATTATAATAATGTTGTAGTTAATGTTTCTAAACTCGTACGAAAAGGAGCAAGTGTTTCACTTACCTATAGGGAAAACCGTGGATTACAACAATTCTACTTCTTTATTTTGCCTTTTCAATTTATAGAAAACATATCTTTACTAGAAAATTCCATTTTACAATTGACTAATTAAGCTTATCAATGATATTAGTGTTAATTTGATGAAGGTTTTATATTTAATAAAAGCAAGTACAATACGAATTGATCTTATAACCTCGATCCATTTCAATTATATTTTAAAGGGTGAACAAAAGTTTCATGGATACATGTCTATCTTCGTCTAAAAGTTTGTCCAATTATAAATAACAAAATTTACTCAAACGTACTTCATATATTCACACGCAAATGAACATCAATGAGATTATAAAATGAAAGAGGATGACTTCACCATATTAACTTGCATCCTACCAAGACAATGACTGAAAAACTCATTATTAATTTTTTCATTACACATAACAAATGTTCTACTGTTGCAACGATCATGTTGGTCGTTTTGAGAGTATTAACCCATATTCACCATTTACTGCTTTTCCCGTATCTATTTCAGCTTATGTGACTTGCCGGGAGATTTTGTTTTGGTTTTTGGAGTGTTTTTGGACACTTAGTCCCTAAACGGAAGCTTAAGTCTTAGGATTTTTTGCCGTAGTTGGAACTGTATGAAGACGACTCCGAAATACAGTTCCGTCAATTCTGTTAGCTCCGTTGGGTAGTTTTGGACTTAGAGGCATGTCCGGATTGTGTTTTGGAGGTTTGTAGCTGATTTACGCTTGAAATGGCAAAAGTCGAATTTTTGGAGATTTTGACCGGTAGTGGACTTTTTGATATCGGGGTCAGATTCCGATTCCGAAAGTTGGAGTAGGCCCATAATGATGAATATGACTTGTCTGCAAAATTTGGGGTCAATCGGACGTGGTTTGATAGGTTACGTCATCTGTTGTAGAAATTTAAAGTTTCAAGTTCATTAAGTTTGAATCGAGAGATGATTCGTGTTTTAGCATTATTTGATGTGATTTGAGGGCTTGACTAAGTTCGTAAGATATTTTAGAACTTGTTGGTATATTTGGTTGAGGTCCCAAGGGCCTCAGATTGATTTATGCTTAACGGATTGATATTTGGACTTAGGCAATGGTTGAGATTTGCTGGTTTCTGGTGTTTTCGCACATGCGGAGGGTTGACCGCAGGTGCGGACTCGCACGTGCGGGAGGAAGAGCGCAGATGCGATTTTGGTCAAGTTGGTCTATGGGCACAGGTGCGAGAGGGGAGCCGCATCTGCGCATCCTCAGATGCGGAGGAAGGATCGCGGGAGCGAGAATGGGCGGCTTGGGCAGGGTTGCAGATGCGGAAGGCCATCCGCAGAAGCGTGCCCGCAGGTGCATGCCTTGTCCGCAAAAGCGAAGTTCTGGGCCTTAAGTCGTTTCCGTACCTACGAGGGAAATTCTGCAGGTGCGGCATTGCAGGTGCGGCTGCTGGTCCGCAGATGCAGGATCGCTGGGCAGAAAAGATCAAGTTCGAGGGTTTGATTCCCATTTTCAATTTTGGGATTTGAAAGCTCGGTGTGAGGCGATTTTTTTAGGTTCTTCAAAGAAATTGTTGGGGTAAGTGATTCTAACCCGGATTGGACTATATTCCATGAATCTATTACTATTTTTATCATCTAATTAGGGATTTGAGTTGAAAATTTGGGGGGAAATGGAGGAAACTTCCTAGACTGAAATTTTGAGTTTTGAAAGGCGGTTTAAGGTCGGATTCGAGTAATTCTTGTATGGTTGGACTCGTGAGTGAATGAATGTTCATATTTTATGACTTTTACCCGATTCCAAGACGTGGACCCGGAGAGACTTTTTAGGGTGATTTTTGAATTTCTTGTTGAAGTCTCAGTTTCATTAATTAGATTAGTCTATTATAGTTGTATTTATGATATGTAACTACATTTGGCTAGATTTGGGCCACTCGGAGTAGGATAATCGAGGAAAGAGCATTCTTACGGATTGATTTGAGCTTGGTTCGTGGTAAGTAGCTTGCCTAACCTTGTGTGGGAGAACTCCCCTTACGATTTGGTACTATTGTGATATGTGAGCGCCGTGTATGTGAAGTGACGAGTGCGTACACGGGCTATTATTATACAACTTCATTTTTCACTAAGTAATAATCCGTCTCACTTTAATTGAGTTATACTAGCATGTGTAATTATCATGTTTAGCCTAGAATAACATGTCTACGTGTCTTAAATGCTTACCTGAACTCTGTGCAGCATGCTTAGTGGATATCTTGTTTCTTCTTTGACTTGTATTTAGTGTACACTGTAGGATTTCGTGTTATAGCTCTTATCTCCATTGTTT